CACACGTCATATGTATACATATATTATATGTGTATAAATACACACACATATACCTGTATACATATGTATATACATACAATTATACTCACATAATACACATGTTACATATTGTACCTATATATCAACAGTAGGTTTAAAGATTATAATTTAATTATCCATACATTCACATTTACTGATATTTATATTATAATCAACTTTAAACATCCGTAAGCATAGCAATACTTTCAATTACTGTTTAAATACTCACAATGTCCACTACCGTACTGTAGGTTAACATAGACGAGCTCCACCACGTTCAGCTGCGAGCCTTGTCGGAGTTTGTATCCTAACTCGCCCCATTCCGTCGGTTTATAACTGAACAAAAAAATACTTTATCACGGTTCTACCAACTGTGTATAAATTCACAAAGGCCAGGCTTATACAGTATCGTGCGTCCAATGCACACTACGCCCCATGATAAGCTTACAATAAAACTGCTCGTCTCATGAACCTCACAGAATTGGCTGTGGGTTAACTCAATCGTATGATGGTAAATTTGAGAGTAATTCGAAATCTCGCGCTAGTCATTTTATATGACCGGCTGGCAACGGATTTACGCTTTATGCAAATTTAGTAACAATACACTCACCTTTTTGTCAATGACTAACAACTTGTTATTCACTAAGTGGATTAGCATATTATTTAAATATTAGGGCAACACGCATATGGTAGGGAAAAATATAAGTTCTAATGTGACATGGGGTGAGCTTAATTAGATGTGCGGCCGAGTTAAGATGTAGTTGTAATTTTTTTTATAAGAGTGTCTAAGTCCAAATAGGATACCATGGCAATAGTCAAGTCTTGAAGTTATAAGAGCATGAACAAGTTTTTTAGTTGCGTCTTCGTTCAGGAAGCGTCTGATTTGCCTAATATTGATGAGATAATTGACAGATTTACAAACGTTGGTAACATGTTTCTTTAGAGACATCGTGTTGTCAAGATGGAGTGACCATTGTATTACCAACACAGAGACACTGCATATTGGGTGAGTTGGAATGATGCCTAGAGTGTATGATGAGAGTTTCATTCTTTCTAGGATTAAAACAAAGCATATTTGCAGAAAGCCAAGTTTGTACTTCATCAAGACAAGTTTCAACACGATCAACTGCATCATCCATTGCTTCAGGTTTAAAGCCGAGATACAATTGCATATCATCGGTGTAAACATGATGACGACATAAATGCTTGCTAATGATATTGCTGAGGGGACAGATGTAAATGGTGAAAAGGACAGGACCCAAAGTTGATCCCTGTGGGACACCACATTTCAAGAAAACAGGATCAGAAATAGATAACTTAATTTTAACACATTGGCGTCGTGATATTAAATACGACTGGAACCAATGAAGTACAGAACCAGAGATACCAATGTCAATTAAGCAATTAAGGAGAATAGTATGATCAATAGTGTCGAATGCAGTAGACATGTCTAAATATACCGATAAAACACATTCACCTGAATCAAGAGCATGCATTATGTCATCATGGACTTTCAGTATAGCGGTTTCTGTACTAAAAAACTTTCTGTATGCTGACTGGAATTGGTCGTTAAGACCATTGTCATCAAGATGCTTGACTAGTTTAGAGACAACAACCTTCTCGAATATTTTGGATATAAGTGGAATGCAGGTTATAGGTCGGTCAATCTGAGGTTTCTTCAAAATAGGTGATACCAAGCCAAGCTTCAGTGCCTCAGGAAATAAGCCAGATGACAGGGAGGAGTTAATGAGTTTCCAAAAGAGACTAATCATAGTAGTTGGCAGAGACACTATTGGCTGATGGATTGGCCATGTTACCAGGATGGAAGAACTACGGTTGCCAAAAGCTGTGTTCTATGCAGAGCTCCAAGTGGGTGAGAGACGTCATGGAAAACCCAAACTTCGCTACAAAGACACACTGAAAAGAACTCTTAAAGCATGTAACATCAATGTTGGTACATGGGAGGACAAGGCAGCTAACCGCTCCTCAATGGAAGCAGATTTTTTCTGGTTTTTAGACTAACAATTTTTGTTGGTCATTCATCCTTTCCAGTTGCATTTTTTGTAAGAAAAAAAAAAATGTTTTGTTGACATATTCTCTACCAAATTTTTGAAAACATAGTGTTGACATATTTATCATTGTTTAGATTTACTGGTAGTGTGTGTTAGAATGTATAACTTGCAAGATTTGATTCTATTCTAGAGGTAGTAATTTTTGAAGATTCTGTTCTTTACTTGTTATTAGCAGTTTTAACAGATATATACAGAACAATATTATTGTTTTCCATGTTATCTTAAACCAATTGTATTTAATTGTTCAAAAAAATATGTTTATTTCAATCTTAATTTTTTTTAAATAATTGAGTTTGTGCCCATTTTAATTTTTTCTAGGGGCTTTCATTTTCAGTTTAATTAATTATCTTTCAGCACTTTTCAAAGAGGTATAAACATTTGCAATTTCAAGGAGTTAAGTGTAATAATTCAATGTCCAGTATAATAACTAGGTCGTTTACATGTATTTGGATGCTTATGATTCCTTATTTGTATTTTATGGGTTGATGTTACAGGAGCTGGATCTCCAGATGTTTTTACTATTTGAAAATTATTATACATCATTGTGGGTTCTTGATTTCTTCCAGATTGTTACCTTCAACAAGTTAGTTTAACAGTGCTTCTACAAAACCTTGTTAAATTATTCTGTAATTGCATAACCAAAGCTGGTTTCGAAAAGGATCAAACATTAAATATGCAGTTGTTTTTTCATCAAGAAGTACTGCAACATGAGCAGTTAAAATCAGGTAAGTCAGGTATAGTTTTACTATGTTTGCCATACATTTACAAAAGTTACCAATTATATATGCAGGAAATTTCAGCATGATCCTGACATTCAGTTTTTAGAATTCAGATGGCAATATGATGATGTCACAATGTCCGATCAGCCACAATGATCTATAAAATCATATCCACAACTTATGTGCTTTCAGAATATGTTATAAAAATTGAGGGTCACCATTTATCCCAAGGAGCTATAACTGATTAAAGATAGGCATGATTTTGGCATATTTTCACTGTATGTCGACTGACATCACATATCACATATACAAATCTGTGCGCGCGTGCGGCCCTAAGATGACAGGAACCCAAAATATGTAAAAAAAAACGTAATTTCTAACTTACGTACGTGCTGTGCATGTGAAAATGCGCTTGACGCGGAAAATTAAAAAAAAAATTGAAATGCTCCAAATGGCCTGAAGCGTGCTCTAATTTTGTCAAAAAGTAATATTGGCTATTTTAAAATTTTGATGCACATGTATGCGCATGTTATGATGTGCGCACAAGAAGTTAAGATACATGACATTCAATCTTGACCTGAAGTTTATGCCCACTGAATAAGATTTATAAATTACAATTGGTTAGGGTGATATGATCGATAATGTAACATGTCATAAGAAATGTAAAATTGCGCGTAGATGATATCACGCATGACTGATCATGTTGAAAAGCTTATTGTAACTATTCCAGGCCAAGGCAAATGATCGTTGAAATTTCATGTTAGTAGCTCATGGCAATTTTGAGAATAAGAAAAAAAAGATCCTGACAATAACAAGAGGTGATCCGTTAAATACAGACCAATTAAAAATCACTTAGTTTGTTGAAAAATAGAAGCAACGACAAAGTTAGAACCTTAAGGCATTGTCTGCATTAAAACTCTACATCTGAATCGAGAATAACGCTATACCCTGGATCTCTTTATTAATATTAATTATATCACTCTTTGATTAAAACAGTGAATTTCTCATTTTTTGAAGGTAAAATATATCAGTTTCCAGTGATGAGACACAGATCAATATAATTTAGTGTTCACTGATTTACAGACATTTTACTGAGAAATTAATTAATTTTAATTAATTAAATTAATTAAAATTACAAATCAATTTAAAGACATTTACTGCCACGCAATTTTAAAGGATGCCACCAAATGAAAATCATTCCTATCTACTGTATGAAACACAAACAAACATGAAGTAAAACAATTATAGACCTAATATATGTTACTACTCCTAGTATCGCCATAGCTGGTGTGATTAGCCTTGGAATTAGTGGCCTCTCTTTAATTTATTTAAATCATAAAATCAAAAAACTAAAAGTTCCTTCTAAATTAATTCAATCACGGTCATTTAAACATTTCAATGAAAACAATTTCATTGACGAACTAAAAGCTACTGACTGGAACCAGGTTGAACTCTGCCCTAATATTAACAATGCATGGTTACTATGTAAAAGCTTATTTGATAATTTATGCAATAATCATGCTCCCCTAAGAACCAAAGAAAATTAAAGGTTCCCTTCCTGAGTGGATAACAAGTGAATATTTAAAGCTAACAAAAGATAGGGAATTTTACTATAAACAAGCCCATAAAACAAATGATTCCAAAGACTGGAAAAAGGCTAAATAATTGAGAAATAAGGTAAATATTCTAAATAGACACTTAAAACGAAAATTTTGCACTAATTCCATTTAAACAAAATGCTAAAGATCCAAAGAAACTATTGGATACTATTCATAAGTTAATTCCAAAAAATCATCCGAATGTTGAACGAGTTCACAAAGATAATAAATAGGTTTACAACTTCTGCTAATCAATTTAATGGTTTACTTCAATTGCAACACAATGTGTTAAATATTTTTTACCCCATAATACTCTTAACAAATTTTCTAATCCCTCTACCAACCTTACTATAACACAACTTCTAATGCTAATTATGAACTTTTCAATTTTGATATTATTACACCTGATTTTGTGTTTGATGAAGTTTGTAAACTGTCTAACAATAAGGCTAGTGGACTGGATGGTATAGACTGTAAACTTCAAAAATTGGCAGTGCCTGTAATTTGTCACTCACTTGCTTATATATTTAATCTGTCACTATTGACTTCAACTTTTCCACTTGAATGGAAACAAGTAAGGGTCACTCCTATTTTCACAGAGGGTGACAAAGCCGATCCAAACAATTACAGACCTATATCCATCCTACCACTAGTAACTAAGATCATTGGATGTGCTGTACACCAACAATTATATTATTTGACTAGAGCTAATTATATTTTGAATGAATCCCAATCTGGCTTTAGGAAAAACCATTCAACAAATACTACCCTGATGTGTCAGATTATATTCTCAATAATTTAAATGAAGGCAAAGCAACTACAGCCATCTTTATGGATTTGAAAAAGGCCTTTGACACAATTGATCACAAACTCCTCATATCAAAACTTAATGACTGTTGAATTCAGAAATCTGCCCTAAAATGGTTCATTTCTAATAGGTCTCAAATTGTTCAAATTAATTCAACCCTATCTAATCCAATGAAAATTAACATTGGTATTCCACAAAGGTCTATCTTAGGCCCATTGTTATTTATTATCTATGTTAATTCCCTACCAAATGTCACTCAGTGTAAATGTGTAATGTATGCAGACAATTAATACTACCATTTTATGCAATTCTTCCGATCCCACTCTTCTCCAAAATGAACTAAATTCAAATTTAAAAATAAACTTACATTAAATATTAAAAAACTAAACTTATGATCTTTGGAACCAATGCAATTTTACATAAATTTTCAAATAATGGTATGACTATTGACAGAGTTGATTCATTCAAATATCTTGGAGTTGTGTTTGATTCTAAATTAACATGGTCTGAACATATTAAAAAATTAACTGGTAACGCATTGGTGTTATCCACCATGTTAAATATTTTTTACCCCATAATACTCTTAAGATGTTGGCTAACGCTCTAGTTATGCCTCTTTTTGGTTACTGTAATTGTGTTTAGTCCAACTGTAATATTAAACTTTCAAATTTACTTCAAATACTTTAAACAGATTAGGAAGAATTTTACTTTCTGCAGACATAAAAACCCCAGTTGTAAATAGGTTTGTTAGAGTGGAACAAACTCAGTGATAAATGGGACGAACAATTGCTCATAATGATTTTCAAATGTTTAAATGGTCATGCTCCATCATATTTATCAAAAAATTTTGTTTTTAATTATGGTTTGCATACGCATTGTACTCGCAGTCAAAATAAAAATACACTAATTAAATACACCTGGAATAATATGCAAGGTAAAAGAACTTTTGTATACCAATCTACTGAATTATGGAATTTAAACTCCCGAATCATACTATAACCAACTTTAAATCTATGACAATTTCAAATTTTAAGCATTCGATTTCAAATCCTCAATAATACCATAATTTAACCTGATTTTCTCTTACCTTGCATATCCATATTTATTATTTAAATTTTTTATTTTTTTTAAGTTTCTTTCAATGTTCCTTTTAAATCTATTTTAATTTGTAGTTAAGTTATCCATCTTTTTTGGTTACCATGTGCATATATCTGCTTTTAAAATTTTGTAGTTAAGAACTGAACCACTTTGGAAACCAGTACTATGTATTGAAAGTGTATATTCAGTATAAAGAAAGAATAAATAAATAAATCTAATTTTTAGATCATTACTTACGAGTTCTTCTCTTAACCACGAGTTCATGTTCTGACGACTACTGCCAGCAAGTTTACATGCAATACAGTACAGTAGTAGGATGTTCGAATAAGTGTGGACGTGAACTCGCGTCCTTGGCGCCCTCAATGAAACCTGACAAACGTGAACTCGCCTCCCTCTCAGTAAACGTGTTAAGGATTTGACTTATTTTAAATAAACTTATTCTTTAATCGTAAAGTATGATAGTTGGTGTGTGTGCAACACCACGGTTACCTCCTATTCTACTGGGGCCAGCTTGTTGTAGTAAAGCTCCTAGTACAAGACCGAGTGTGATAAGCATATTGTGGATGTTGTCAAACTGTTTTGGTGATGTTGAATTAAGAGCAAATCTTCTCCCTGTATAGGTTTTCTCTTCGTCTTTGTAGGAACTGAAAACAAGGAAATTAATTATCGATAGTATTCACCATAAGTTTCATAACTTGGAATGTTCTTAATTTATTCATTTCCATTTTGTTTTCCACAGAATTGGCAAAAGTTATGAATTTTCTAGGCCAACCCTGTATTTCATTTGTACCGGTAAATGAACTTGAAACAACAGGTAGATTGTTAACCATTTGTGCATGGCTCTACAAGTGAACATCACCCAGAGTGCAATCATAGTGTATGGTTTGAAAATTATCAAGAATTCTTCAGGCTATTATAAAATACAACCTTACTGTATTTGTATTATCTAAACTTCTGTATTGGTGGTGTAAGTATTTGCTCGGCATGAGGTCAAAATCCCCCACAAGAGATGGGGGTGCAGCACACAACAAAAATTAGGGCTAGAGGCCACTGTTTACCAAGTGGTATAAAGATAAACCTAAGAATTTGAGAGGTTTTATGTAACCAGTTTAAGATACAGTATGATAAATTAAAAATTACATATTACACATGTATCTACTACTTTCACTAACTTTAATTTAAAGCTTAAAAGGCTCATGGCACTATTAAAAATAAAGATAAAGGTGTTGATTCATATAGCTCATGGAAGCTTGGACTGTATGCACTCAACAGATTTATTCCTGTAACTTGCTAATCCCCTAAGATCCCATTATGCCATCAAACAGAACCTAATCATTTGGGACCCTCAGCATGTAACAATGCAAATTAAACTCAAATCTAAATTCAATCATCTGAAAATAATTTAATAAAACATTAAATACAAGCATGCTCGTGACATGTTGAAGGTAGGGAAAATAACCCATAACTTGCAGCATCATTGTGCTGAATTGTCTATGGCCGTGGTCCATGACTACCTAGCAGGGCTGTAGACACAGGAACGGTTGGCCAGGTTTCAACCTGACCACTTTTTGATGGACCACAAGTTAATTGATTAGGTTTTGAATAGGAAAAAAAACTAAATTTCACCTGTACGTTTGGACCCTCTTGACATTGAGGAAGGCGGTTTGGGCACAGCGATTTCAATTCTGGTTGTGAACCTCGTTGTCCAGTGTTCGAACCACACGCTGACCATTCTCGGCCGGCCATGCTTAGTTACCCCAGCTTGCACTGTTGACAGGTTGTGAAGTGGCTCACGCTATGTTTCAGCCCTAGGTGCGAGTATTTCATGGCTCATAAATTAAATAAATATGAATATAAATATTGTGGCCGACTTTCATCAATATTGATGGTACCATCAGGCCTGACATACCTAGATAGATGGATGGATGGATGGACGGATGGATGGATAGATAGAAATCTTTCTTTATTCTGGATACTCAGTCAGTATTGTTACACTGTTCTTCCCTAAGGCAGTGGCGGCTCTAGGATATAATTTATGGGGGAGCTATGGTGTCCGACTGGGGGGGGGACGCGCTAAGTATTTATGGGTGTAACTATGGCGCGCAGCGTATCTGAGGACCAAAGCCCAGAGGCGGGGGAGAGTATGGGAGGGGTATTGCCTGCTCCCAAAACGAGATTTAAAAAAAAATTGGGACTTCTAGATGGCTGGAAATGGCTGGGAACTAGGGCTTTTTTTTTTTTGGGTCCGACTGCCCGACGAGCGATGGGGGGGGGGCTTGACCAGACCGATGCCCTGAGGTCCAGTGTATTATCTTAAACTACATTATATTACAAAATAAAATTAAAAGAAAAATGCATAAAAATATGCATACTGTATATATATATATATATAGATTACATAACTACAAGAAACAGAAAAGGGGAATGAGATAGATATACAAAAAAAAAAGAAAAAAAAAGAAAGAAACTCGGGAACCACAAGTCTGTGAACTGTGAAGTGAACGGTTAATTATAGTTTACTTTATTTTCTTCTCTTTTGTGTAAGATTTATAATGATTGATTAAGGAACTAGAATGCATTTTTTCGTCAGTTGAAATTCAGTGTCTATGTGGGCTTAGCTTTTATCCAAATCAAGCAGGTCAATTACTACACCCAGTGCAGAAAATCGGACTAAAGGTTCCCTTATACACTTGCCAAGAACTTATATTCATTTCTTCCTTATACACTTGCCTAGAACTTATATTCATTTCTTCGCTAAAAAACCATGCCTTATCTGTGTATTTATTCCTGATAATTCTAATATCCAACATTATTTTCAATACATAAATATACTGTAAATATACCGTTTTTTAAGCACTTCTCTTAAATACATATCAAATACATGACTATCGCACAGATGGGTTCCCATGGTGGGAGAGGTCATGAGAAGAGAGCTAGCTTGCTCTGTCGCTGAAAGACAAATTTGAGATATGGGATGGGGGAGTCTTCAGCTCTTCCTTTGAAAAGTTTTGTTTTCTAGATGCTAATGCTAGTGCATTATGTGACGTCTATTATTGAATACCCTCTGAATTAATAGTTTTCCCCTACTTACTATGGACAATTAATAATTATGATGATGATGATATGATGATAAAGAAGATGATGAGGAGGAAGCTAGGTGATGACAGGCTCTTGTGCAAGATGTGAAGTGTCAAGCGAGGTCTGTAGCATGAGTTACGGTTGGGAATTTGGAGACATTATTGTTGTCGTCAAATGGTCAGTGCACACAGTTAGACAAAAGTTTATATATCTCTTTTATATAGAAAGTAATATGTAACCCATAAAATATCAGTTCAGGCATTCATTTATCTGTAACAAATATAACAAATGAATCATACAAAATAAAAAGAATATGAATAAAATAAAAACATGTAAAAAACAGCTACACTAAATCAAAATGGAATATTCACTGCCTGTTGGATCGCAGTGTTAGTGTTTCAGGGGTTCCGAAGGCTTTACAGTATAACCAATCCTCGTATTTCTGATAAATTACTGATTAAAATGTAAAATATTTAAGATTTTATAATCAGCACAATTAATTAATATTTAACACTGAAATTCTTTGTCCCTTTTTTTAAAATGTAAATAATGAATTTTCTTAATCTAAATTTATCCTGTGTTAATAATAATGATGAAATAATTTTATAGTAATAATATTTAAATGTTTTTTATTGAATGTTTAATATAATTTGTTATTCTGTAAATAATATTGATGAAATCATTTTAATGTAATTATTCATTGATGTTTTTTTATTGAATGTATAATGTAATTTTGATTTTTTTTTTTGTGATATTCTGATTGCTTGTTTTTGTTCTTTTTATATACATATTTTTGTAAATACCATGCTGCAATGATGTATTTTTTAATGTGAATTTATTGAATAAACCATTTATCTATCTATCTATTGTCAAATGTTATGTAAATCTCATCTCAAGAATTGCGTTACATTCATGCACCAAAGTGGAAAGTTTAACCCAATAAATTTGATATGTTTTTGTTGTTTGTTAAGTGATCTTTAATGATATTACAGTCTAATATGACCACAACATAACAAAGTCCTCTCTTTTAACTTTTAACGTGACGTGAGAACTTTAACCTAATAACTTTTATATGTATATGTTTTACGTTGTTTGTTGAATGGACTTCTGTAATAATAATATTACAATTCTAATATGACCTCAACATAAGGAAGTCCACTCTGTAAATATTTAGCATAAAATTGTACAAAGAGCTTAGCAATATCATTATACTCATGTTCGATCCAAATTCAAAGACATTATGTTTTATGCACGCACTGACAAGGAAAGTTTGAACATCATAATTTTGATATGTACATGTTTCATGTTGTGTTGATTGGTCTTATTTAATAATATTACAGTTTAAAATTCATATTATGATAACAACTTGGTCGTAATATAACATTCTTAAAGAAAGCAGAATAATGCCATTCTTTCAGCAACTGTACTCTGACCAAAACCAAACTATTGTTGTGATTTTACTTCCTCCAGGAAATTAATTAAATATGCATAATTGTCTTTTGTGATATTTAAATGAAAAATATAATAAAATTATATATGCCTTTTAAAAAGGTTATAAGAATTAATGCATGTGTATTCTCCCTGTGGTTGTTTTTTTTTATTAACATCGTGATATATTAATCAAAATAAAATTAAAACAAAAAAAACTCTAGAGTACATCGCACAGCTGATTTAATTAAAGTCCTTTTAGTTAGTAGTCAGACAATGCAATGCATTTTTTTTTTCTATATTTTTGCCTTTGGTTGAGTAGAAAGAGTTGGAATTTGCCAGACCACTAGGCACTGCAATCACTTTATATTTTTTAAAATATCATTTTATCTCTCACCCTGACATTCGCCATGGCGAACGGTGCAAAACTGTGGATCTACGCCTGAATGTATTGATTGAAAGTGTACCATAGAAATATTATTTTTCGTTCATAGGTCTAGTTAATAAGTTCGATGACGTAATGGCTGACAAAAGTCATCCACTACATTTGACTATTGCTGGCTGTCTACAACTGAGACAGCACACATAAATTGTAGTCCTAGTAGGCCCCCACTCCTGATATAGTTCCAAACTACTGTAAAATGAAATTACTGTATACCTAGCTAGGCCCTATGCCTACAAATTTTTTTCAAAGAAATTTTCTAAAAATATTACTGTAATTTGCCTGTCGAATTACATTACCAGTGTGGTCTAAAATCACTATTTTGGGCCATAAAGACTCCCCCTGTATTTTTCAACCACCACACAAATTTGACCAAACATATATACTGTGTATATATATATATATATATATGTATATATATATATATATATATATATATATATATACTTATTAAGTCATGTTTCATGCATAGGAACATTGACGCCTGCTAGGCTCTGGTTTGGGATTAGCGTCATATAAATTCCGGATATTATTATTATTTTGTATAAACCAGCCTGTCTTGAATTCAAAATGTTTTTATTGTTTTGCTGCATGATGTTAGTTTAAAATATATTCTTATAAAAAAAATGTTTAAACTATGTATTAGATTACTACTACAGAACATCATTAAAATTGGTGTATACAATAAAAAAAACGCAACCTGACCACTTCAATTCTCGTGGCTACAGCCCTGCCTAGCCGCCTTAAAGAGGCAGCTTCTTGTCCACATCTAAGATACCTGGCTTCAGGAATGGACAGGCCTGCTGCTGGCATGACTTCAACACTTTCACACATAATGATTCTATACAATATTAACTGAGCTTGCAGAATTAAAATAAAAGTAGTATGATTTAAACTGGTTAAACTTTCTTAAATGCAATTGCAGTTACCTAACATAAATACAAAATGATTAAATATTAAAGGTGCTCCTTTTTCCTCAAGTTTTGATTGAAAAGAATGTTAAAAGAGCATTAGGTAAAGAATTCCAAAGTGTGTGTCCATAGAAAGAAATTGTTTTGGATTTAGGTAGGTGATATGTTGTGGTAAGCAAGAATTCCATAGTTAGTAAAGTAAAGTTAGCCAAAAACATACAGTATAAATCTATATTGAATGGAAAGTATACATACAGTATACTGTAATGTTTGTTATTTACTCTAAATGAGAAAGATTTCTTGTCCATACCGACGCACATTTGGAATCTACTGATTTTGTGCGTTAAAAATGCTTTCATTTTGTCACCGATATTGGCCTCCAAGTGCATCTTGCATGTATTTGCTGCGCCCTTTTAGAACTTGCCCAACCAGGCAAGGCAAGGCACTTCTGATTGCCTTTTGACCTGCTTTAACATCGAAAATGTTACCGTTCGTTTTGGTCACTGTTATAGCATAGAGAAAATAGACAGAAGGAGCGAGTTTGTATGGTGTTTTCTACATAGCCCATTTTTCTGATGTGTTATTGAAGATGGTGTTTAGTTTAGAAACTACAAGGATAAAACAGCTGTAATTATCAAGAGTGGGGTCGGTAGAAGTTATTCCCCAGTGGGAAGCTCTTTAATTATTCCCCAGTGGGAAGCTCTATAGTTCTTCCTGTGGTCCTTTCAAAATTTTTACATTTTGATTGGTTCACTTGCTTTGATTTCTGTAAAATGTTGCTGAAGATGGCATGCATTTACCGTCTCCTTTACCAACGATTTATAAATGGAACACACTTTTGTTATTGTACATATATTATTAATTTCACAGAGCAATCCAGAAGACTCCCCACTGAGACAAACATGGATAAGCCCTCATCTTTACTGTTCTCCATACTGTGGCTGGGCAGATTTGGGTAGGTCTTCGTGGATGCTCCATTAAACAGTCTCACTTTCACCCTTCCTGGAGTGTTGCTTGGAATGGCAGTGGCATGGCTGGGGCTTTGAAATGATCCTCTCCCTCTAGTTGGCAACTAGATCTTTGAGCATCTTTTTTTGACCTGTTGGAACGCGAGTCCTCTTCCATCACTCTCAGAACTCTTTGCTATGTGCAATACCTTCAACTTTTATAGGTGAATGTTCTTCAGCCCCAAAGGAGTTTATCGGGAGGTTGTTTTATCTCACCCTCCGGCTTCTATGGGTGGCACCAGGATTTGCCCTACGGGGGTTCGAGCTCCCAGAGGGGGGCTCCGATGCCCCTGACGAGGGGGAAATATTTCCC